GTATGTATGTATGTATAAATATATGTGTATGTATGTATATATATATATATATATATATATTTACATATTTGGTTTTAAAAAAGGGGGTCAAGAATGCATCCCTGTACATTGTATAGTGTAGTATGCACACTCGCATATCCACAGATTTCAGAGCATTTTCCAAGTGACTATGTGCAGCGTCATTGACTTCACAGATTCGTTAAACTCTGCATTCATACGTAAGTCTACATCTCTACCCTATTCATTTTGAGCCAATTAAGCACATATGTGAGATTCGAATCTGACGGTATATGTGCGTGTGAGTCTATCCCGGTATGCACTTACATGGAAATTTAGTTGTTGAAACATACAGTATGCGCCCTACTTAAATATCATATGATAGTTACAATCACAGGTGCGATTACTTCGAACTGTAAATGCTAAACGTTAAACTTGAATCTGTAACAGTGTAAAACACATCGTATCTCATCTCCATCTTGTATTTCCTTGAAATCGCTTATATAAATCGAGAGTTGTATCCAAGAGACCCAAGACAATCGTAAAATACACTTGCGCGGTATAAATTTAAGTTTGTTCGTATAATATCGAAAGTAGTCGCGGTCTAGTCACTGGGAGAGCTTTCGGTGCCACTCGATATATCAAGATGGCCAGGAGGAATTAACACAACTCGTGTGCTGGCTTGAAATGAGCTTGTATCGTTAACCCCCGTGCTAGCGATATGAAGTGTTCTGAGAGCTAGACAAGATGTCAGCGGGCATACATTGGTAACACCCTGACATCCGGCTATATCTAATATCCGCAGTTCCAAACACGCCTTCAGCGGCTCTATATCGGTTATGCCGGGGCAGTCCCCCATATGCAGTTGTGGCAGTCTCAAACATGCACTCAGTGGGCCTGAATCTGTGATGCCATCGCAGTAGTCCATGATCAGTTCTTGTAGCTTCGAGCACGCACTCAGTGGGTATAGGTCGGTGATGCCATCGCAGCCGCACATGGACAGTACTTGTAGTTTCGAGCACGCACTCAGTGGGCCTATATCTGTGATGCCATCGCAGCCGTTCACGGACAGTACCTGTAGTTTCGGGAACGCACAGTGGGCCTATGTCTGTGACGCTATCGCAGTCGTCTATGGTCAGTTCCTGTAGCTTTGAGCACCCTCTGAGAGGTTCCAAGTCTGTTACACTGGGGCAATCGATTAACTCGAGTTTCTTCAGTTCTGAACACGCTGCTAGCGGCCTTATGTCGGTCAACTCCTCACATTCAGTCAAAACCAGTCTTTGCAATTCCCGACATGCTCTTAACGGCTCAAAGTCGGTGATACCAATGCAGGGACGCATTTTCAGAATTCGTAGTTCCAGACACGCTCTTAGCGGCTCTAGGTCGATACTACTAGAGCAGCCATACAGATCCATTTGTTGTAGTTTCGAACAAGCTCTCAGTGGGCCTATATCGATGACATCAGTGCAGTTAGTAAAGTTTAAAGTATGAAGTGTCACACAGGACGCCAACGGACGCAGGTTAGCGATTCGCGTGTTGCTTAAATCTAGCTTGGCCAATGCATGACAAGAAGTAAGCGGAGAAAGATCCGTGATGTTGGTGGTGGCCAAGGCGAGGCTCTTTAATCCCTGGCACTGCGCTAGGGTGCTGAAACCTTTCAGTAGTCCACTAACAGCAGGCACCAGTGCACGTATAAATGAAAGCGAGTTCAAGTCCCAAACACCCTTGTACCCGGTCATATCTAGAGTTCGCAGCTCCCTACATGCTGACAGTGGACTCACATCGGTGATTGCCATGCAGTTCTTCATACTCAGGGTATGGAGCCGTACACACTGAACTATTGACTTCAGATTGGAAATTTTTGTGGCAGCCTGATATGTCCAGAGTATGTAGCCACCCACAGTGTGCTATTGGGCTAAGTTCGGCAACATCCATCCCGTTCATTCTCAATTTGCGCAGAGCCACGCATGAGGAAAGCGGACTTATATCCGTAATACCGGGGGATCTCATTGCCAGTATCTGGAGACCTGTCAAGGATGCTAACGGCTGAATACTGGCCAAAGGACAGCCTGACATATCCAGAGTGTGCAGCGCCGTGCACGAGGAGAGTGAGCTGATGTCGACTATCATTGTTGAAGCCATACTGGGTACCTCAAGTCGCAAACAGGATGATAGCGGGCCAATAGTGGCCACACTTGTCTTGGAAATATTGAGTGCATGTAGTGTAGTGTAGAAACTAAGCGGTGTGATGTCGACAACTTTTGATTGGCTGAATGTGATAGTGTCGAGTGCCGGAAAAGGCGCTAGAGGGCTGATATCGGATATCTTGGGACATAAGATGACCTTTAAATGGCGCAGAGGCAAAAGTTCTGCCCAGCGAGTTGATGTCGACAATTTGTAGGCCATCAATGCCCTTCAGCGTAAGTGTGGCGAGGGTCGCAAAAAAAAAAAACTTTTACAATACCTTCAATGCCACGGAAGATGCAACGTGCTTCGGTTCTTCCAAGCAACGTAATTGTTGGTCGACTAGCGACAGGTGTCCAAAATAAGGATAGGTTTACGACTGTGAGGAAAGAATAGTCTGCTATACAGTATGTGCAAGTCTAGTATTTGATTCAATAGACAAATTTCATAATAAAGTAAATATCTGTCATATTTTTGTTACATATTTTAGGATATATTTTGTTATAAAAATGTCTGGAAGGTCTATGTACCTATTCATGACCCTCTCTACTACTTGTGAGAGATTAAAGATATACCACAACGGACTAAAGTCCGTATGTATGACGACGGCCGTCAGGCCGTGATCTATTTTAACTTTTTAAGGGGGGTTGAGGGCGTGTTGCACACATAGGCCATAGACGGTATGTAGCCCTAACCCCTCTGTTCAATTTTTTTAAAATAGAGGGGGCTATGCCGCTATCAAATTTGGTTTTGTTTTTAAAAAGAAAAACAATTGAGTATCAAAATGTCACTTTCGTGTGATGTCACACAGTCATATCAGTCACAATCGTCAATCTGACATCTCTCTCTAAAGAGTCTAAATATACTAGCTCTCTTGAGTAGAGAGAGTCGGTTCATTGAAGTCAATTGTATTTAAAAAACAGTCAAGCACTACGTATTTATTTTCTATATTGAAAAAAATTTAATTATTGTTTTAAAAAAATAAATATATATTTTACATTAAATAAATATATTATACATATTTATTTTTTAAAAACAAAAACAAAAACAATATAGATGCTATTGTTAAACTCATCGCGCCTGACGCACTACCTTCATGTTTGTGCCTGCTCCCAGACTGTCAAATAATCGGCATCTGAAATCGATAAAAAAGGGGTAGAAAACGAGTATCCGTTTTTGGTGTATAACTTTTATTCGTAATACAGACCGTGTACACGTACTTCCACGACAGCGTTTCAGTGAAACTATTTCAATTAGGCCCACACGCATCTTTTTCGATGCTCGAAAACGAATAAGGAGGAGAACTTAAGCTTTACTTTACTCCTGGACAGTTGGAGCAGAACCTGTAAGCTCGCTGTACTGCTTCTGAGCAGCCTCTACAATGGGGGTAGTCTGTTCCTTAATCTGTGCTACAACTGGCTCAGCACGAGTCTTGAGGTCAGTGACGACGGGTGCTGCTTTCTCGTTGTATTGGTCCTTGGCCTGGTTCACTTTCTCCGTAGCCACTTCGAATATATAGTGACGTATTTCTGATTGGTGGTTTCCTTGGTGCTCTCGTACTGTTTCTGTACTTTTTCACTGGCGGTTGCGTACTGCGTGTTGGCCTGGTCGATGATCTGCGTCTTCTTTGCATTCGCTGCTTCGATTATGTCTTCGGCGGGAGTCTCGATGACAGTGTATCTCTCCACCATCAAGTTGAAGTTGCTCAATAAAAACCCGTTGGTTTTGCGAATGTATGCCATGGTGGACTCGTTATTGAAAATGATACTAACGCTCTCGAGGGTCTTGTTAAAATTGCTCTCCATACATGTGGACAGGTTATTGAAGGATACACTTCTTTCCTTAGCTTGTGAGTAAAGCGAGCCCACGAACGAAGATACATATGCCACCACGGGCACTGAAGCCACACGCGAAACGATACTTTGGTTGATTTGTTGTTCAGATATGATATATATTGAAGAAGATTTATGAGGTATTGAATATGCCATAATAATGACAGTGAATATTGCTTAAATATTCCAAGGCGAGTAGCGATAAATGGTCAGACACTGGACATGATATGGTAATGGTGCGAATTTCTGAAACTCCATTATATCTACTGATCAGTTTAGAGCGCCGTCTGTGTCCACATATCATGCTCACGATTCGAGTCATCGAGTGCCTAAAACAGTGAAATGAATGCCATTTGTTTCTAAAAAACAAAAGAGAAGCAAAAAGGAAGAATGTCGAAGAGTCGAAGAGTCGAAGACAAAGACGAGGACAAGAAGAAGAGAGAAGGAGACAAGTATAATGTTTAAAAAAAAATACCAAAAAATACGCAACGTGTCGTTCTACAAAAACAAAAATAGGGTGTGTCATTGATATTATTATTTATCCTCACCATCCCATAAGGCCCCATATTTAAATATTAGTTATCATCACCGGCCACCGAGCACCGGGCCACTAGTCCACTGTTCACGTAAATAAACAAATATGACGCTAATAATTTAAAACCAAGGCTCGCATAGGGAATTCCTTGTGTTTTGAAGTCTGCTACCGCATGACTGACCGCTAGTGTAATACCCTCCTCCATATTCATACTTTCGTTCCGAATTTAATGCCTGCTGAACTGAGTCAAGAAAAGTTGATAACTTTTCCTGCTTGAAATGTTCTGTATTGATTTCGACATCATGGATCTGTTGATCAAAGTCCATCCCAATCGGTGCATCTTCGTCGTCCAAACTTCGGTCTAATACTAAATCATTCAGTCAATCCTCGTCTATAGAATCTGCTTCCACTTCCGATGCTGATAGAGAATCCCCGAACCCGACATAGTCAGATTGATCCATCGTAGATAGGTGATATCTGCTATAGTTCTGTTCATAAGCAAACAACATCTATATCATATATATATTTTAATAACGAGTTTTTTTTTGAAGTATGCGATGGTGCCTCGCCGGCATATGATGCCTTTTGGCGGGATAATTCATTGCTCAATGGTTAGTATAGATACATATAGACTCTCCAATAGTTGGTCTGATTGCTGTGACTAGTGGTCTAATGGTTAGTTAGATTACTGAGCACAACACTTACCAAGTATTAATCGTATTTGCCGACTTGCACTGCTTCCGGCTACAAGCTGAAGCTTCAACCCTACAGAGTGCAGACTGCAGTCCGATGCTGATGCTTGATGACTTGTGTTGACTTTTGAGTGACTTGAGTGACTTAAGTCTAGATTCTTGGAATTCGCAAATACAGAAGAGTTCAAATAAAAATTAAAACCCCATTTGCTATGAACTACAAAACCCATGTTTACTTTTTCAACTTTTAGTACATTTTGATTTTTATAGCATAACTCTCTAAATTATACATTTATAGTGGAGAAATCTAGAAACCACCATAAATATAGCCACCTACACACGCCACCTACGATTCTAGCCACCTACACACGTCATCATAGTTAGTGCAACCTACACTTCCCACCTCGTAAAATGTATATTTTAGCCAATCACTGGGTCCCATTTTCAAATTTTGACACTTATAGTGACAGGTTGACATAAGTTGACATGTGACACCAACTATTAGGGCAATCTACATTTCTCACTGACGAAAAATGTATGTTTTAGCCAGTCAATGGGTCACAAAGACATACACAGGTGCACACAAGGTATTGTACCGGCACATTATTTCCGTGGGTCTTTGAATATAGTATAATATCAGTTGAAACACAAATGGTCTTCTAAAAGCTTGGTCTGGCTTGGTTTGTGCTGAGACAATTTAGGTGCGTATTTTGCGACATCAATAGGTGTATACGGCTCCGTTGCCCTGAATGATAGAATATCGAGTTGCTTGTAGTCGCGAGAATTTTCAGAGCTGCGCAGTTTGTATTTGTTTTAATTCATACTAGTGTGAGAAGACTATCCAAGATAAGAACATATTCAGACATAAAAATACTGAAATGCACACCACACTATTGCCACAAACATTCCCAATTCATATTTGCCTCTCTACGAGTGCTGCCTCGATAGTTTGTTACCATGTTGGCGTCGTGGTGTCTTCCAGGAACTAGCTAGTAATGTATTGCTCAAGCAAACATTGAGGGTTAAACTTCAGTCCAGTGCAGTTTGTATTTATGTTTTACTTAATATTAAGGTGGGAAGTGTAGGTGGCACTTCCCACCTGTAGTGGGTGGGAAGTGTGGTGGCGTGTTTTATTTAATAATAGTTTTTAAGTTGTGTAGTATATGTAATGAAATAAAAAAATACCCAAGTATGAGTAGGTGGGAAGTGTAGGTTGCACTAATTATGGTGGAGTGTGTAGGTGGCTAGAATCGTAGGTGGCGTTGTGTAGGTGGCTATATTTATGGTGGTTTCAAGATTTCTCTTGATAGTGTTTATTCTGTTAAAAAAAACTATATATAATTATAAAAAACAAATATAGCTTCCTTGTTTTTGTAAAAGACGAAAGAGTAAATACAAGCAGTTTAAAAAAAACACTAATTAAATGATAGCTTTTGTGGAAAAAAGATCAATGATAAAAATACTGCATATCTATTTATTATCTGCAACGAGGAAAATTCTTGTAGAAAAAGTTACTCGTTTTAACATGTTTTATGACTACTCATAATATATAGACATTCATTGGCTTACGTTATTGTCGTGAATGGCATGTGATTGATGTAGAGTAAGATCTGTGGCAAAAAGTTCATCATCTTCAGTTCTATATTTTTATAATTTTATATTTTGTAAAATAGTGCCAAAAAGTCAAACGTGAACGCGGTCACTGAAGTTGAGAACTCTTGGAACTCACGGAGTCTCGGCCTCTCGGGTGAGTCGGGTCGATTTTGAACTTTTTTCAGTTCGCTTGGGTTATTGTCATTGGGGAGTCAATGAGTCATACCTTCACATGTTTTTTTTTAGTCTTTCCGCCAGAGGTACATAGGCGAATATAGGGCCCGCACAGATCACTGATACTTGCTCAAAGGAACTCCATAAAAACAAATAAACTTTGGCAGAGAAGAGGGACTGGCGCTTTATTATTGAATGCGTCTTGTGAACGTCATTATTATCGGTCTCATGACAAAGATCGACAGCTGGAACTAGTAACTACACAAAGTATCTTAAACAGTATTGCATGCAAATCTCGAAACAGCATCATATTCGTTTCAGAATAGAACACTTCGAATTTGAAAGTGACTCGGACTGGGGTTCGTAGGTTTACAACTATACATACGTAGGCCGACGCAACATAAGGAGATTTTGTTCCTCAGTACGTTTGTCGTTGGGAATAATCAGTGAATGCACACACAGAACAGGAAATAGATATTTAGGGGAAGTTTTTGGAGCATCATGATAAGCGCACACTCTTCGGAGCTTAACTTCGCTGAAAAGGTGCCAGATGCGCTTTTGTGTACGATATGTCACAATCTATTCGATAATCCGGTGGTCACTCCTTGCAGCCATGTGTTCTGCAACCGATGTATCACCAGCAAACTGGACGAAGCCAAAAAATGTCCACAGGTATGAGTTTGAAACTCACCCATAATATTATCAATTCTAGCAATTTTGCTACGGATACGTACACACAGATATATATATATATATGTACACACACACACACACACACACACACACACACACACACACACACACACACACACACACACACACACACACACAC